GAGCCTCCGGAGCCCGGGGAGGGTGAAAACTGCCACCCCTGCAGCCTGTTTTCGCTCCCAGGGTGGTGCAGGAGGCTGACTAGGGCCAATGCTTGCGGACGTTTCATCGCCCTACTAGGGAACATCATCAGTGCTAGAAGGAAGGGGGTTTTGTAGAGAGGAGGAAGAGGAGGAGGACGACGACTGTGGGGTTCTTAGGGCTCTGAGCTCGGTAGTTTTCTTGCAGACTAGGCCCTGCCCACCATGGCCACGCCCACCCAGCAACCGGGCCCGAGAACCAGTTGTTAAATTATTTGAAGCCCACCCCTGCTTGGGGGGGCTGGGGGGGGGTCCTTTCCTTGCACATCTCCCATCAGTTGCTTACCAAATATGTTTTGTGATCGTTTTGCAGAACGGATGGTTTCTGAAGCCAAAAATAACAAAAGTTGCTTGGAAGGTAAGGAGCCTCTTTGTCCTTCAGAGCGTACAAGTAGTCCGCCCACTTACAACTGCTTGTTTAGTGACTGTTCCGAGTTACAATGGCACCGAAAAAAAGTGGCACCAGGACCGTTTTTTCCACAGCAGCATTTCCCCGTGGCCATAACGATCAAAATCCAGCCACTTGGCCACGGACTCGTATTTACGACGGTCGCGGCATCCCTGGGTTCACGCGATCCCTCCTTTTTTAATTGTCTGGCGAGCCAAGGCAACGGGGCAGCCAGATTCACTTAACGGCCGTCTCACTCACTTAACCCACTGCAGGGTTTCGCTTAACAACCCTGGCCAAGAAAGGTCGCCAAAAAAAAAGTGAGCAAACCTCATTCAACACACTGTCTCACTTAGCAACGGAAATGCTGTGTTCAATTGTGGTCATAAGTCAAGGACCGCTTGTATCGGGTGGGCTGGTGTTGGAGGGGGCGGGTGGAAGTCCCATGGAAAATACTTCCTTCCTGGAGATGTGGCCGACCAGAAATTCAGCCATGGGTCTGAGTCATTATACAAGTGCTAGTTTGCATCTTCTGGAAACTTTTGAGTTCCTTTCCTCTGTTTTGGAAGGTGGAAAATCACTTACTTTCTTGGCATCTGGGCTCAAAAGAATGGATTGTTTCCATGTTTTGATAATGGGTAACATCTAAATCAGGGTTCCTCAAATTTGGTCCCTTTAAGATGGCTGGACTTCAACTCCCAGAATTCCTGAGCCGGCTGGGGAATTCTGGGAGATGAAGTCCAGCCATCTTGGGGTTTGAGAAACACCGATCTAGGCCGCTGTCTGAGGAATTCTGTGAGTTGAAGTCTCCCCGTCTGAAGGAGGTTTGAGAAACACTGCTGTAGGCAGCTGGCTGGGGGATTCTGGGAGTTGAAGTCCACAAAGCCTAAAAAGGTTTGAGAAACACCGGTCTAGGCAGCTGACTATGCTGGCTGGGGAATTCTGGGAGTTGAAGTGCACCCCTCTTCAGGTTGCGAAGATTGGAAAACACCACACTAAATCAAATCACACAAATGCTAAATGAGAACCCAACTGCATCGAATCGGCTGGCTGGGGAATTCTGGGAGTTGAAGTCCATCCATCTTAAAGACTGGCTTAAGACCGCTGACTATGCTGGCGGAGGAATTCTGGGAGTTGAAGTCTACCTATTTTAAGGAGGTTTGAGAAACACTGTTGTAGGCAGCCGGCTGGGGGATTCTGGGAGTTGGAGTCCACAAAGCTTAAAAAGGTTCGAGAAACACCAGTCTAGGCAGCTGATTATGCAGGCTGGGGGATTCTGGGAGCTGAAGTCCACAAAGCTTAAAAAGGTTCGAGAAGCGCCAGTCTAGGCAGCTGATTATGCAGGCTGGGGGATTCTGGGAGTTGAAGTCTAGCCATCTTAAAAGGTTTGAGAAGCCCCGATCTAGGCAGCTGACTTAGGAATTCTGGGAGTCGAAGTGCCCAGGACTTAAAGGGGTCGAGTTTATATTCAACTACACAGTCACCACCTATTTCTCTAGGCCTGTTTAGTTTTGGGGAGCAGGCAAGAGATGGGGAAAAAAGGGGGTGATATGTGGCTGTTCCTAAAGGCCTCAGAACCCCAACCTTCCAAAATGAATGAAACAGGTTTTTAAGTTCCTTTACTTGACTGGTGCTGGAGATTGGCTAAAGTCAGTGCCCTGGTGGATTCTGGGAGTTGAAGTCCAGAACATATGGGGAGCAGCCAGTTGAGAAGGCAAGCCTATAGGATTGCTTATAGTGGGGACTCTATATCCTGAACTCTCTTTGAACAGACAGCTGCCTGTCCTGTGGGAAGAAGAACCCGGTGACTGACCACCCACTCTTTGAAGGGGGACTTTGCAGGACGTGCCAGGTAAGTTGGGCACGAGGTGGGCAGGGGCAGTGCTTTCACCTGGCATCAGGTAAATCCCTTTGCTTGGCCAAGGCAGGACTTGGGATGGTTCAACTTTTTGTCAGCTGCAGCTCATCTCGATAGGATGATGATGCTTCTTTGTGGCAGGAAAATCCTAAAAAAAAAAAAAAGATCGCGGATCCTTTCCTAAAATTTCGGCTTTTAGAAGCTCGTTTGATTTGTTATTTCGATCTACTTCGCTGCCCACCTCAAATGGTTAGGGAAGCGTCATGCCCCTGTTGGGGACTGACTCCGAGGGAGAGGAGGAACCGCCGACAGGGAATGGAAGTGTGGCTCCAGAGGTTGTGGAGGAGGCTGGGGAAGGGCAGAGGCCGGCTGGGCAGTCAGAGGAAGACCCAGGCCCATCCCCTCTCCATCCTAGGGCATGCAGGGAGGAGAGGATAAGGGAGAGACGTGAATGGCCTGGTCTACAGGGGAGGAAAGGGCCTTGATCCCCTTCATGGGCTGCAGCTGTGAGAACTGGGACGAACATGCGTATGGGCCAGTGCTGGAAACAAAGCATGGAAATATCTCTAGTCTGTCATTCCTCTCTTGAGTTTGGTGTCCTTCCCAGTGTGTGTTCCAATATCCGTGGACGTCTTCAAGGGAACCTTGCCTGGTTCCCTTAATCGCTTCAGTGCGGTTTGTGTTGTTTTTACTCTTATAATTTATTTATTTATTTTTATTTGTTTATTTGATTTGTCAATCGCTTACAAGATCATAGGTATAACTATAAACACGAGTAAGCACATAGGAAATAGGTACGGATAAATGGGGACAATAGGACAGGGATGGTAGGCACGATGGTGCACTTACAGACCTCTTAGGAATGGGGTGAGGTCAATAGTGGTTAGCTTGAGGTTAAAGGAATGAGGGGGTTAGAGGATGTAACAACAGAGTCAGGTAGGGCATTCCAGGCATTGACCCCTCTGTTGCTGAAGTCGTACTTTCTGCAATCAAGTTTGAAGCGGTTTACATTGAGTTTGTATCTGTTGTGTGCTCTTGTATTGTTGCGGTTGAAGCTGAAGTAGTCATTGACATGTAGGACATTGTAGCAGATAATTTTGTGTGCTACACTTAATTCCAACTGTAGGCAGCATAGTTCAAGGTTGTCCAAGCCCAAAATTTCAAGCCTGGGGATGTAGGGTATTCTGTTGCAACCAGAGGAGTGTAGTAACTCTTCTCGTGAAATACTTCTGGACTCGCTTGATTGTATTAATGTCTGATATACAGTGCGGATTCCAGACTGATGAGCTGTGTTCGAGTATTGGTCTAGGAAAGGCTTTGTATGCCCTAGTTAGCAATTCGATATTTCCGGAGGAGAAGCTTCGTAAGATTAGATTTACAACTCTTAATGCCTTTTTGGCAATGCTGTTACAGTGAGCTCTGGCGCTTAGGTCGTTAGATATGAGAACTCCAAGGTGAGGATCATCAGTGAGGTCTAGTTTTTTATTTGGTATAGCAGTTCCTCCTTTTCATAACTGCTCGTGGGGGAGTTTTTTGTCTCCAGTCAAGGATATTTGGAGTTTTGAAGCAAAGTGAAGGAATAAAAGGGGCTTCACCTGTTTTTGTGACTGTGTTTAATTTGTATCCCACCCTGGGTCATCACAGGGAAGTCTGGTCTGCAGTGCCACATGTAAAACCGGGCAAAAAATGCCAGTTTTCTTGTCTTTTCTTCATGTCATATGTGTCCTGTTTGTCTCCTAGGATCGCTTTCTGGAACTTTTCTACATGTATGATGACGATGGATACCAGACGTACTGCACCATCTGCTGTGAAGGCAGCGAGTTACTTCTCTGTGACAGTGCCAGTTGTTTCAGGTGGGTAATTCCTCCACTGGTCACTGGAGAAAGTGAAGAAAGGAGATAGCTAGCTGGATAGATAATGAGTAGTTAGATAGTTGATAGGATTAGATGGATGGATGGATAGATTGTTGATATAATGATGGATTGATAGATAGATGTGGATAGATGGATGTATTTACAGACAGACAGGATAGATAGTTGATATGATAAACTAGATTGATAGAGATATGGATGGATGGATGGATGGATGGATGGATGGATGGATAGATAGATAGATAGATAGATAGATAGATAGATAGATAGATAGATAGATAATTGATAGATAGATGGATAGATGATACGAAGATGAATTGGAGAACACCCAGCATGGCCTTCTCCAGTTCGAAGAAGAGACAATCATTGGACCAGCTGAGGCCAAGGGTCAGTCCCGGAACCAGCGAAATCCGGGGGCTGGACAGGGGACAGACTGTATCTGTCTTCAGTGTGGAAGGGATTTGCCCCTCTTGAATTAGCCTTTTTAGCCACACTAGATGCTCTTTTAGGACCTCTTTTCAGAGCACGATAAACCATCGGCTCTTGAGTGAAGGATGCCAATTAATAAAAAGGATGATATGATGATAGAGATAGAGAGATGGGTATGTACATAATGGATAGATAATAGAGATAGATTGTCAGACAGACAGACAGATACAGAAAGATACATTATGTAGAATAAGTAGATAGATATAGGTGGAAGGATAGACAGATTGATAATAGTTGATAGGATAGGATAGAAATTGATATGATAATCTTATATTACATATATTAACAGCAGCAAGAATTTCATATGCTCAGCACTGGAAGAAAAACGCCACACCACCCGAAAGCTTAATAACAAAAAAATATTTTAGAGTGTGTGGAAATGAATAAATTAACTATGGAATTAAAAGGGAAAGCGGACACAATATACAATGCAGTATGGGAAACATGGTTTATTTGGATCGATAACAGATATAAGAATAGAAGATGTAAATAATGTATATAATAGATAAGAGATTATGAAAGTATTGTGTATTGTAAGTTACGATAGGACACATAAATGTGTATATATAATGTCACAGCACTGTTTAATAACTATTGGTATTATGTATAAATGGAAAAAAAGCTCAATAAAGCATTAAATAAAAAAGTTGATATGATAAGATACATAGACAGATTCATAGTTGATAGGATAAGATAAATATATAGATAAACAGATAGATAATGGATTGACAGATGATGATATGATAGATATAGAAATATGGATATATACATAATGGATAGATTAGATAGATAGATAGATAGATAGATAGATAGATAGATAGATAGATAGATAGATAGAGAAAGATACATTATGTAGAATAGGTTGGTAGATATAGATGGATAGATGGATAAGACAGACGGATTGATAATAGTTGATATGATAAGATAGATTGATAGTTAATAGGATAAGATAATGGATTGATAGATAATGGATTGATAGATGGATAGATATGATAGATATAGAAAGGGATATATACATAATGGATAGATGAAAGATGGAGAGATATGTAAAATAGGTAGGTAGATAGATATAGATGGCTGGATAGACAAACAGATTGATAATAGTTGATAGGTATATATACACAGAGAGAGACAGACAGACAAGACAGACAGTCTTTGTTATTGAAGTTAGCTTGGAAACTAGTAGTGACTTACAACAATAATTAAGCCTGTAATTAAGCTCACATTTATGACAGTCGCAGTGTCCCGGGGTCATGACAAGCCAAGTCAATGGACCAGATCTCAGATTCGCTTCACAACCCTGTTACTCCCTTCACAACTGTGATTAGCTTTAACAATGGTGGCAAGAGAGGTTGTAAAACAAGCCAACGCTCCCTTAACGACTGTCTCTCCCTTGACAATGGAGATTGGCGGGCTCAACTGCGGTCATCTGCCAAGGACTGCTGCGGTCGTGCAATGGGGGGGGCGTCGGCTACGGCATCGTGGCTTTGTTGTGGATTCTAAGATTTCCCCCCGTCTTTTGCAGCTGTTTTTGCGTGGACTGTTTGAACACCTTGGTGGGACGGGGGACGGCAGAAGCTGCCCGGAAGGAAGAGCCGTGGAACTGCTATATGTGCCGGCCGCAACAGCGTTACGGCGTCCTGCTCCGACGACGGGATTGGAATACACGCCTGAAGGAGTTTTTCACCAACGAGGAAGGGCAGGAATACGTAAGGAAGGGAAGGGAGAGAGAGTGGAGTAGAGTAGAGTAGAACAACAACAGACCAGAACAGAACAACAGAGTTGGAAGGGACCTTAGAGGTCTTCTAGTCCAGCCCCCTGCTCATGCTGGAGACCCTATACCACTTCAGACAAATGGTTATCCAATCTCTTCTTAAAAACTTCCACTCTTGGTGCATTTACGAGGGCTATCCACAAAATAGATTACGTTTTCGTCTGTAGCAAGAAGGGGAGGAGCTAGCGCGGCCATCTTTGGTCTGTGCGTCCGCCGCTCGGTCTGCATATAGTCGTGCTAGTGGGAGGTTCGTATCTTTGCCCGTTATTTCACAGCAAACGTTTGAAATGTGTGCTGCCATGGAAAATCCCGCGAGTTGTGAGGTGCGATCAGTGATAAGGTTTTTGTTGGCAAAAAACCATGAACCGATTGAAATTTTAATTGAAAAATTGAAAAACGAAGAGAAGCAATTCAGAACAAGCGTAGAGTTGAGTTAAGCTCAAAAATTTTGTTTTTGCATGACAATGCCCGACCACACACACAGCAAATCGCACCCGAGAAGTCCTGAATGCTTTCAAGTGGGAGATTTTTCCTCATCCGCCCTGCAGCCCCGATCTTGCACCGGGTGACTACCACTTGTTTCTGAGGATGAAGACCTGGCTTGGAACAAAATTTTTGAGCTTAACTTTCCTCTGTGCTTGTTCTGAATTGCTTTTCTTAGTTTTTCAACTTTCCAATTAAAATTTCAATTGGTTTATGGTTTTTTGCCAATAAAAACCTTATCACTGATCGCAACTCGCAGGATTTTCAATTGCAGCACACATTCAAACGTTTGCTGTGAAATAACGGGCAACGATACGAACCTCCCACTAGCATGACTAGATGCAGACCGAGCGGCGGACGCACAGACCAAAGATGGCCGCGCTAGCTCCGCCCCTTCTTGCTACAGACGAAAACGTAATCTATTTTGTGGATAGCCCTCGTACAACACAGAAGCTGGTTTGTGGTTAAGTGAAAAAGGGCAAACCTAGATAAGATAGGAAAATGTGCTACTTGCTTAACACTCGCAGCGATTCTCTTAACAACCGTGTCAAGATCGGCCATAAAATGGGGCCAGGCACACAATGTTAGCAACGTAAATTTTGCGCACAGTTGCGTTTGTACAAGTTTTATAACCTGTAGTTGTTGTTTTTTTTGCTCCGTGCTTAACCAGCAGGGAGACAGATGGGATTGTGGTTGTTTGACAAGGCAGCCCGCAGGCGTCTTGCTTAATGACCGCAATGCCGTAACGATCTAAATGCCAGGCTTGGGGTGGGCTTTAAAAAGCCCAGCAACCGGTTTGCTGCCCAGTTGCTGGGTTGGTATGGCCATGGCGGGCGTGGCCTGCCAGAACTTCCTGTTTCCGGCTTGCTTTCGATGGGCCTTCAGAGGTTTGCCTTTGGAAGGGCAAAAACAGCCTCCCCCGGGCTCTGGAGGCCCACCGGAAGCCAGAAACAGGCCCGTTTCTGGACTTCCGGAAGGCCCATTTCCCCACCTCCCAGAGCCTCCGCGCAAGGACAGGGTTGGCGGGGCCAGCCGCTCAGTTGAAATACCGGTTCGTAGAACCAGATGTAACTTTAACATCCGGTTCGCTCAAACTGGTCCGAACTGGTAGAATCCCATCCCTGGTTAAGGACAACGTATATCAGTGATGGCAGACCTTTTTGTTGTGCGGTGAAAGCGCACGCATGCTGGCACCCTCAATGCAATGTGCCCCATCCCCCTGCGCATGCATGCACAACACCCCTTCCCCTTGCCTGCACTGCGTATCCGCATGTCTCCCAGCTGATTTTGGTCCCATCTGAGGCGTGAGGGAAGCCTCTGCAGCCTCAGGAGGCCAAAAAACCGGGCCTTCCAGAAATACCAAAGTGCCCGTTTTCAGCCTCCAGAGGGCCTGTGGAGCCTGGGGGATGCTGTTTTTCCCCCTCCTGGAAGCTCGAGGGAAGCCTCTGCAGCCTCGGGAGGTCGAAAAACGGGCCCGTTTCGTCCCTTCTGGTATTTCCAGAAAGCCCGTTTTTTCGGCGTCCCGAGGCTGCAGAGGCTTCCCTTGCGCCTCAGGGGTATGTGTGTGTGTGAAAACAGCCTCAAACAGGCTGAAAATCAGCTGGGAGGCACACTCATGCGCAGGGCAGGTAAGTTTGGTTGGGCCTCATGTGCCCGCAAAAAAAGGCTCTGCACTCCATCGCTGGCACGCGAGCCATAGGTTGGCCATCACGTGGGCCTATATTATACGTTTCCCCCTGAATCGGAGCAGTGTCGGCGAAATGGATAATTGTCCAGATTTACGTGAGGGTCAGAAGGTTACGGTGGTAACAAACGGACACAGTTGCTGGTGCAGGTTTGTGTGTATGTATGTGTGGGTCAGTCACATGCATTTGTTTTTGCCTCTCACCCCATCACAGAAGGCACCCAAAATCTACCCTGCCATCCCAGCCACAAAACGGAAGGCCATCCGAGTGTTGTCTCTCTTCGACGGCATCGCTACAGGTGAGTCCTTGCTCGGATCTCAACATACCCATGCCCCCAGGTAGGTGGGGAGGTCATGAAGAAGAGGGGGACAGGTTAGCGTTCTCCAGACAGGGAATCCCATTCCTTCAGTCCTTAACGGTGAGGACAATACACCGGTGGAATGGCTTGCCACCAGAAGTCGTGGGTTGCCCCATCGCTGGAGGTTTTTTTTTAAGGAAAAGATTGGACGATGAAATGGTCCAGGGCCGTGATGGTGAACCTATGGCACGTGTACCACAGGTGGCACGAAGAGACATTTGTGCCGGCATGTGAGCTGCGGGCAGACTTACCTCACTGCACATGCGTGCACTTCACAGCTGATTTTTGGCCGATTTGAAGCCTTTTTTGGCCTCCTTCCTAGAGGCTCGAGGGAAGCCAGGCCAGTTTCATCACTTCCTGTATTTCCGGAAATACAGGAAATGATGAAAACCGGCACATTTTTCAGCCCCCAAAGACTGCAGAGGCTTCCCTCAAGCCTCTGGGAGGCCGAAAAAGAACGTGCACACATGCGGAGAGGGCATGGGGGGGCCTGTGCGCATTGCCTTCTGGGTGCTGGCACGCGCACATGCCATTTTCGGCACAGGAGC